GGCAAGCGCCTGCCAGGGTCTCCTCCAGTGCTGCCCTCTGGAGATGCCATGGGGAAGTCCAGACCTGGCGCCGGAGGGGAACCAGGTAAGGGTTTCAGGGTGACTCGTGGACCGCTGCTCCCAGGAGGTCTTGTCCCTAGGGAGGCAGCAGAAGAGGAGAGCTAAAAGGCGAGGCTGGGGACTCCACAGCTTGGGGGTGGGCACGGGAGGGGAACGCTTGGAGAGAGCAAGGGAAGGGGTGACATTTCCCAGAAATACACTCGTTACCTGTCTTACGTAACTGAAACCCCGCTGTACATCACCTTTATGATAGCAATGTTGGAAATGTAAACAAGGACCAGGCTAGGTCCTGTGAAGGAAATTCTAGAGGCTTGTGTCCAACTCCGTAGCACTGTGTTTACAGACCCTGGGAATTACACAGTCTCCTTTTTCTTCATGAATGCATGGGACTTTGGCCTGATCTTTCCTTAACTTGACGAGAAAACTTGCATGCAGAAAATGTAGCGAGTGAACGAACATGCAGAGTCAATGACGTGCTGTCAAGCACTGCTTTTGCTGACAGGCTCAGACTCAGTATCCCCAGGTGGGATAAGCCCAGCACAGGAAGAGAACAGTGGGCAAGCCCACAGCCCACAGCTTCCTCTTGCCGACGCTGGATCCACCAAGGAGGCGCAGGCCTCCTGGAGACCCCTGAGCCCTTCTGGATTCTCTGTCCCCAAAACTCATTATTGCAATTCTGGTTTTTTTCCATCAGCCGTACCATCCACATGGAATTCTCCAGCCTCCCTCCACACCGGCCAGCCTTCTGCAGCGGTCACCTGGTGAACCTATACTTTTCCTGAGCGGATGCTTTGTAAATTGCTGACACACACTACCTCCTGTGGATGGGGGGGGGGACTCTGATTCCAGTGCTCGGTCCTTCCAGAAGGGACCTCAGCCAAGAGCTCAGAACAAGGGACAAAAAGGTTTGTGTGCCTAAAGATAAAGGCCTGGCAAACAAAGGGCCTCAGCGACCTGACCCTGAAGCTCATGGAATCCAACTAGGGTGAGTAGGGTCATATCTCAATGGGGCGTTATAAGACAGGTCTGACTGCGGGCCTGTCTTTTATGGTTGACAGTCAACCAGTCACGGTTGGCTCTGGGCAGCACCATGGACAGAGTCCCAGAGCTTGTGAAACTACAATGTCAGCCCCTACCCCAGATGAACCAGTCTGCAGGGAGAGAAAGAGGGGAAGGGGGGGGGAGAGGGGACAAGGGAATGAAGAAAGAGAAGAAAGGAGAGGGTGAAGGGAAGCAGAGGGAAAGGAAGAGAGAGGGTATGGGAAGAATACTCTTCAGAAGCATGCCCCCTAGTGGACAATTTCCTCTAATAGACCCCCCCACTGTATTCAGCAATGAACTGCGTGGCTTTGTTCATCCATTAAGGTTACCCATCTCATAATCCCACTCTTTAATAGTGCCACTTGCCAGGGGCCACGCCTTAAACACCACTTTTGGGGGGACAACAGTTCATATTCCAGCCACAACGGTAACAATTGCGTCTCATCCCACACCAAGTTGATATGGGTACCAAAATAACGCCCCGGTGAGGATGGTGTTCTGAGAAGCAATCTGAGCAAAGCACCTGTTGCCTTCTGCATCTGTGACTCAGACCCTGCAGGGCTGGAGTAGCGGCGGTGCAGCGGGCAGTGCTGTGTGCAGCGCACACTGGCTTATCGGAACCTCCCCCACTCGGCCTCAGCCAGGAGTGAGGAGCCAGGGCCCAGATGGCAGGAGATGGGTGAGCAGGGTGAAGGTGTTGAGCAAGCAGGGGAACTGTGTGCCAGACTCTTTCTCCATGATATCAGGAGAGTTGCTATCTTCAGTCCTTATGGATGGTACCAAAGCTCAGAAAGATAAAGGTTTGCTAAGTCATTCAGGTGAGGAAAGAGCCAAAGCCCAGAACTTTCCAAGTCCAAATTTCATGTGTCTTTTAATCATTCACACAGCTTTCACCTAGGGTAACTGAGTTAAAAAAAAAAAAAAAGCACACTCATGCTCTAGGGCTTCAGAGTAGAAGCAAAAAGCAAATGCTCCCAGAAGCAAGGAAGGTCCCCAAGCAAAGAAAGATGGCGGAGGGCCTGTGGAGGAGAAACCTAGAGACCTAGAGACCTCCTCTTTCTACTCTTCTGAGACCATGTGTGTGGTGAGAAGCAAGAGCAGCTGTACAAGGGATGTTCACGTGCTCTGGCCCCGCATCCCGGAGAGGCCTTGTTGCAACATGGATTCTCGGGCAGTAGGACTGGGTGGAGGCCCCAGGCTCTCTCTCCACAGCTCCTACGTGCCTCCCATGCGGCCGTCCAGGATGCCTGGCCAGTGCTGAGAGTAAGCCACAAGGGACAAATTTGCAGTGGAGATGCAGGAGCTCCCTCCAGATGGACCCTGTGCCCAGCGAGGATGCAGGTCCTGGTCAGCAGGGAAGGTGTCCCCAGCAGCCCAGCTCCAGAAGCCCAGGTGGGCATGCACAGCTGCGAGACAGGCTTCTCCAGAGGGACTGTGGAATGGATCTGCTCACTCTCACATTCTAGAGTTCATTGGAAAATTATGAAGTCTAGGTTACTAAACACAGTCCTGAGACACTACGGAGACCAGGAGGAAGGGGGAGACTTAGTATTCTGTTTCTAAACAGGCAGGAGGGAGAAATAGATGACCATAAAAGAACCTCCAGGACCCCTGTAGATCTAGAATTGCAACCACAAATGTCTACAGCGAGTACACACAGCTGAATGACACAAATCGCCACATATGCTGTTGGTGGCAAACTAGTACAACTACTACGGAACTCCATGTGGAGATGACTCAAAAAACTCAATGCAGAGTTGCCCTAAGACTTAGTGTGCGGTGAGCTGAAGTCAGGGCTGGGGCAGAGGAAATTAAAGATAGCCTATCCAGCTTTGCTTCACAAAACTTTTGAAAAAAGGACACAAGAAGAGGGTTTTGAAATAAGAACCAACTTGAGAGCTGGTACAACTTGAATGACAAAATATAAATTCACCGAGGGACAGCGCCCAGGCCCAGAGTTCAAGCCCCATGACCGACCAAAAAGAACACCCAGGTAATATGTGCCACAGGCCAGAACCATGATGGATGCTTCAGCAGGTGAAGGTCTGTCGTGAAGCATAGTATTTGCACAGTCATAAAGCATCTCCCCCAAGATATTGAATTATGCCAAAGGGAAAGATAGTAAATACAGTCAGCAACCTTGGAAGATATAACCTAATTTAATCAAGGGCTCAAGTCCATATCATCATGACTGAAACACACTACGGGTGAAATGTGAGATTACGTCTTCAAATCATAGGCTGGGAAGGAAGAGCAAAACGTTTGCAGTATTTTACATTAAAGGTAGGAGTTCAATAAGATCTTGGGGAGGATTAGGAAGCCCCCAATTCAGGCCCATCCCATGGAAAACCTGACCAGCACTCTTCAAAAATGCCAAGTTCAGGGAAGACAAAGAGGACAGAGGCACGGACCTGCAGTCGGAGGCAGAGATGAACAGGTGGAGAGCCTTGCATCAGGTCCTCGTGAGGAGCAGGACGTCGGCTGAGAGACTGATCAACTCATGTTCTGGAGTTTGTCTGTCCATCACAGTTACGTCTCTGGTTTTGATCCTTGTACTCTTGTTTTGTCAGATATTCACAAAAGGGTATTTAGGAAGTTTGTACTCTTTTGTGTGTGTGTGTGTGTGTGTGTGTGTTACTTCTCTAGCCAAAGTAGCATTAAAATGTAAGTCTTTATTGCCTTACTCACATAACTGTAGCCCCTCTGTACAGCATCTTTACAATAAAATAAACTTAAAAAACAAAATGTAAGTCTTCAGAGCATCTGAGGGCACACTGAAGCAATGACTGATGAACTACAACAGTCTGGTCTTGGCGTGAGTGGTGCGAGCACGGCTGGAGCTAGGCTATGCAAGGCCATCTCTCTGTTCTCTCTGCATGGCACTCGGAGCAGGTCTCCAGCCCAGAGGGAAGCGTGTGTATTGCTGAAAGCCCTGTACATGGGGGCCCTGGGGTCAGCCTTGGAGATGTGGACCAGCGGTGACATGCTGGTGGGAGACTGAGGAACACACACACCCCCTTAGAGAAAGGTGGGGCCGGGTAGACTGTCAGCACCCAGAAACCTGAGGGACTGGAGGAGCCCAGAGGAGCCCAGTGCAGGTTCAGCATGTTTCTTTCTGCAGGGCGTTTTTGTAAGGAAGGGAAGAGCAGGTCCAGAGGCTCCTGACAAGCCGCCCTCCGCAGGCGCCGGCAGCTTTGGCCGTGCAGGAAGCAGAGGCCGGTGGTTAGAAAGAGCTGATCTCAATGTCTGGCTCTTTCTGTGCCTCGTGGCCGTCCAGCTGCTGCTGCTTCAGGCCTGGGGCAGCGGGACAAGTCTCGGGACTGTGACTCCAAGAACTCACATCTCCGGCTCCCAACACCTGACCTGGGCTTGCTCAGAGCTCCCAGGGAAAAGCAGACATTACAGGCGTTGTATCAGAGGGAGGTCCAGAGGCCCAGGGGAGGGAGCGGAGTTCTCCAAGCAGAGGAGGCAGAGGCTGCAAGAGCCTGAGCTGAGAAAGACCAAGTGCAGCCATGGAGAGGGGGGTCCGCGTGGGACGGGGCTGACGCAGCAGCACACACAGCCGAGGCTGCGCACCCAGGGCTGCGAGCGCTCGGCCAGCTGCCTCGGAACTTTGTGTTACGCAACACGCTTCATCCTTGGACCCATGCCAGCAATGTCCAGTGCAGCCTTCCGAGCTGCTCCTGACCCCATGTCCCTGGGCGCTGTCCTTGTCCCCTGTGGACTCTCCACCCGTCTTTCACCTAAGCAGAGCTCTTCCTAGGCAAAACCGAACTGCGGTGACTCTCTGGGACAGAGTTCCCCTTGTGAGTGCACTTATGACTCATCTTGAAAACAAACACTGTTACATTGATTTCTTTTTTCTAGCGTGGCATGGAGCTGAGTCCACGTGACCACATGACCTCTGTGGGAGTGGCTGTAACTGTATTAAAGCCCCTTCCATGCCATCCCGCACAGGGCCTGGCAAGCCGGCAGGAAGAGTCCGGGACATCAGCAGGTTAGTGCTGCCTTCTCATTGCTTTGCACATGTCTTCATGTCTACCTTACTGGGAAAACATTTTCCAGGCTGGAAGGTGACCTTGTGAGTGTGTGTGTTCTCTGGGTGCTCAGGAGAGAATCCCCACATTGCTTAGCTCTTGAAGAAAACATAATGACCAAAGTTTTAGGAGATAAGGGCAAAGAACCAGCACAGGTTTTACTGAGTCAAACAGGATATCCCAACATGACTCATGAAAGATTCGATACACCATTGCCCTGGGCTTAAATCAGCCCAACTCACACACCGTGGGTGAACTTGACCTTGGAGCCAAAGTTATCTGAGCAATGGCTCATCTTGTGCCTCTCAGCCAGGATGCACACTGTGGACACCGGTCACCACTGCCTGCTGCCAGTCCTTCCACACCTGGGTTCACGCTCATTTGCTTATTGCTACTATTATTGTTACTATTGGCTACTAGTAACGGGGTGCCATGTTACACATTATTTCTCCTCCTTGATCTTCTTTCCCCCTTCTCCTTCCTCCCCCCATTTTCTCTCTCCCTCTTTTTTCTCCTCTTTTCTTTCCTTCCCTTCCCTGCTCCTCCTCCTCCTCCTCCTCCTCCTCCTCCAAAAGTCTTTTGGACTTTGCTAAACCCAAAGTAAAGCCTGAGCTACATAGTCACACAGTTGCAAGAAATCAATATGTGCAGACTGCAGGAGAGTGAGGCAGAGTGGTGTTGTTTTCTGAGGCAGGGAGTCTCCAGAGCAAGGCCCGTCCTTGCCAGGTTCCGGTCCTGGCCCACCAGAGCAGAGCGTACGTTGCACTCAGTTGACAAGTTCCCTGGCCGCCCCAGCAAATCACTCATGGCCAGTGACAATTACTTTTACCCAATGTGTTCTTCTGATGTAGATTTCCAGGCTTTGGTTATTCTGTTTAACAGAGAGGATGAGAGGTCATAGCTGAGGTCCATTACATTGTTATGCCGTGAACCTTGTTTATAATGGCTCTAGGTTAACCATACTCTCAAAGATCCGCTCCGTTAGGTAGTGATTAAAAACAGAGCACTGCAGCTGTCCAGAGCAAAGTGAGCGTCGTACCAAGACAAATGGCTAATGTGACTTCTCTGCTTCCTCGGAGAAGTGCAGTGGGTGGGACAAGGCACAAAAATGTAAGCTTTCAAGAAAACGCAATGATGGGATAAGACAGCAAGTCACTTGTTTGAGCACAGAAATAGGTCCAGAGAAAGACTTCGTGAATAGCCAGCAAACTGAGAAATTATACAGACTCTAAGGTCTTATAAAAAGAAAAACAAAACACCCCTCAGAATCAGAGAGAGAACTTGCAAAAAGCCACACTGGTGCAGATGGAACACAGCCAACTTGACTTGATAGAAAACCAGAAGAAACGGGACCGTGCCCGATCATAAGCGCTTATGATGTGTTTCCAGCAGCAGTCTTGGTGCACTGCCGAGTGGCTGATATTCTCAGGGTGGGCAGACAGATGTCTGGACCTGGCAGATAGGAGCCCCCCTCACCCCTCCCCCTTCTGGTGGCAGAAAGGGCGGGTTCTTCATTCTCAACCTGGCAGCTTTTCCCTGGGCTAAGATGATGAAGATTGTGGGTTGGGATCTCAGGAACCCAGGAAGCCCAGCTCTGCAGGGCCCGTTCTGCAGTGCCAGGCCCACGGGCCTGAGGCCCTGACTGGTTGGTGTTTTTTTGTTTTGTTTTATTTTGTTTTCATGTCTTTATTGAGATTAAGCAATTCCACAGTGCTGTGGATAGTGCTACTTTGCCAAAGCCACCAACACAGTTTCACCCTCACAAGGAGCGCTGTCATTACCGTGGTCGCAAATGCTTATGAACTCTACAAACTGACACTACAACTTTTCTTCCACATCAGGTGATATGTACAGTTCTTTCCTTCTGCTTAGTGTCCGCTGTTCCCTCCTTCCCTCTCATTCCTCCCTCCCATCGCTGCCTTGAGTTGCTTAGTTCACTTCCATCCATGTCCAGTGCAGCTGATGGGCCCCTCCACTGTGTTTTGTCACCCGTTTCCCTCTGATTCTGTGCCCTCCTCCTAGCGTCCCTCGATCTGACTTGTTTTAAACCTCCTTAGGCAGAGAGCCAGCTCTGGTCATTTCCTGTCACATGGAAACTGCTCAAAGAGAAGAAATTGCAGTGGAACATTTTGCAAATAGAAATTCATTTATATGAGAAGGCATCACAGAAAGAAAAAAATAACAGTAAAAGGTTTTCCTGGCCCAGCTAAGCTACCTTCACAGATAAAACGTTCGTATAAGCTGGGCACCGGTGGTTCACGCCTGTCATTCTAGCTCTTCAGGAGGTTGAGATCTGAGGATCATAGTTTAAAGCCAGGCCTGGCAGGAAAGTCCATGAGACTCTTACCTGCAACAAACTACTGAGAAAAAGCTGGAAATGGCACTGTGGCTCAAGTGGTAGAGCGCCAGTCTTGAGTATAAAGAAGCTCAGGGACAGCGCCCAGGCCCTGAGTTCAAGCCCCAGTTTGTATTCCACCACAGGCTGTCTAGCCCATGACTGAGCTTTCTGGTCAGCCAAGGTATTCTCCTAGGCTCCTCTCTGGGCTCCCAGCCAGAAGGGACTTTCTCCCCAGGGGACACTGGTCAAAGTCTAAGGAAGTCCTTGGCTGCTATCACCAGAGGTGGAGAGGATCCAGCCCTGTGCTCCTGGAGACTGCTTAGTAATATACTAAGTAATTAGTACGTTAGTCAATATATTGTGCTCAGGGCAATCTCCCAGAACAAAAAATTGTCTACCCCCCAACGGTCAATGGCACGGGAAACCCTCGAAACAGAGCAACAAGAGCTGTCAGACTTCTTTTGTGGGTCGCAGCCAATTGCATTTTGCACATTTTTTCCACCAACCCAGAGCACGCAGCCACACGTGTGTACCCATAGCATAAATGCACTCAAGATGGCTCCAGAACGTTGCTTTCCATAGTCTGTCTCTATGCTCTGGGAACCCCCGGTGCTGGTTTTATAATTCACTAATAATGGGTTAGGGTTCAGAGCTTGGAAAACACCACTGAAAAGAAGCTCTAAGAAGTCTGATGAGAGACGAAAGGGCCTGTGCCCGCCAGCCTGTCTGTGTGACCATGCAGACGCCTACTCCTGCCGGCCCACTGCGGGACAGGGGCTGTCGGCTGCTCACTCCATGGGAGGGAACGTGGGCCACTGGAGATCTTTCTGGAATTCTTCTGGTCCTTCTGTGTAAAAGCCAGATCAAATATTCTTTGTGTGATACTGCCTTATTAACTGTCTGCCCTGAAACACCTTTTACTTCCTTCACCTATTCATTCACTCATTCACGTTTAGGGGAACCGAGAACCTGCCGACATGGGGAAGCCTGTACTTCACTACTTCAATGGCCGGGGCCGGATGGAGTCCATCCGCTGGCTGCTGGCTGCGGCTGGTGTAGAGGTACGTTCTGAGCTGGGACATCTTCATTGGACCTAGCCATGACCTGGCTAAGCCAGCTGTCCATAACAAAGCATCCTGTGAAGCTGGGCGCCAGTGGCTCCGCCCGTAATCCTAGCTACTCAGGAGGCTGAGATCCCAGGATGGAGGTTGGAAGTCTGCCTGAGCAGAAAAGCCCAGGAGGCTTTGATCTCTAATTGTCACCAAAAATCCTGAAGGGGAGCTGTGGGTCAACGTGATAGGACACAAGCCTGGATCAAAAAACGTTCAAGGACAGTGCCCAAGCCCCAGGACCAGCGCACACACACACACACACACACACACACACACACAGACACACACACAGACACACACACAGACAAACAAAACCCATATGATTAGTTTTGTTTTAAATAAAATTATCTCCATTTAGTAAGAAAGAAGTAGACTTACCTGATCAGATGAAATTTGGTGATCCAGATCTGCCCAGTCAGGTTCCTCTGTGTCCACTCAATGTAGACACCGTTACTTCTCCACAGTCATTTCCAGACAAGGATCACTTGGCCTATAGGATGACAGAATGCACTAACACAAGCTTATTTACTTCTGCTGGCAGTTTGAAGAGAAGTTCATAGAATCTCCAGAAGACTTGGACAAGTTAAAGAACGGTAAGGCAGCCATCCAACCATCCATGCATTCCTGACGACCGTGTCTAGCATGGCCCAGCAGCATGGCGCACAGGGATGGCTGGAGATGGTCAAGAGGCAGACAGAGGGTGTGTGGGGGGCAGGCTGACCGCTCTGTGATGCTGAAAAGGACTGGGCTGCTCCGAGTCTTCCCTCCGGAATCTCTGAATGTGTTCTCCATGCTCTCCTGATTTATTCTCCCAGAATGAGCTTCTGTTAGCTCAGAGTCTGCCAGTGCCCTCCACCCCAGCCCACACAGGGCCATGCCTTTAGTCAGAGGAGGACCAGAAGGGGCAGGTGCCTTTGTTTTGTCATTTGGCTTGTGACGAGCTACCCACCTTTAGTGCAAGTGTGGAGGAGCGCAGCGTGGGGCCTCGTCCTAGAAAGCACTCTCAGAACCCATCGTGAATAGCGCGAACGCTGTGGGAGTTATTTGGACACTTCCTTCTTAGTGGTATTTTCCCAGAACCCAGTTGCATGCTCTCTTAACCTTCCTAGAGTATCCAGAAATAGATTAAACACAAAACACACAGAAATCTATTATGGGTCTGCATTGGACATAGAAGCCAAATGAAGTAGGTTTAAAACCCAAAAGAAAATAGATATAAGAAAAAGAATCCAAGCGCTGGTGGCTTACACCTATCATCCTAGCTACTCAGGAGGCTGAGATCTGAGGATTGAGGTTCAAAGCCAGCCTGGGCAGGAAAGTCCATGAGACTCTGATCTCCAATAAACCACCAGAAAACCAGAAGTGGAGCTGTGGCTGAAAGTTGTAGAGCACTAGCCTTGCACAAAAGAGCTCAGGGAGAGTACCCAGGCCCTGAATTTAAACTCTAGGACCAACAGAAGAAAAAAGAAAGAGAGAAAGAAAAAAAGAGAGAAAGAAAGAGAGAGAGAGAAAGGGAGGGAGGGAGGGATGAAGAAAAGAAAGAAAGTAAGACAGCTAAGCATAAAGTCTCCGATTTGTGTAAAAGTGTGATTATTTTTGCTGGCTCCGCCTTCTGTTCCTTCAGTTGCGTCAGGAAGCCTTTTCTTGTTCTAAAGGAGTAGGGTGTTCAGTCGCGTCAGGAAGCCTTTTCTTGTTCTGAAGGTGTTCAGTGAAGACATTTCATTGACTCCTCTTCTCCTTTTCCCAAAAGATGGGAGCTTGATGTTCCAGCAGGTGCCCATGGTGGAGATAGACGGCATGAAGCTGGTGCAGTCTAGAGCCATTCTCAACTACATCGCCACCAAATACAACCTCTACGGGAAAGACGCGAAGGAGAGAGTCCTGTACGGTGAACTTCCCGATCTTCCATCCATCGATAGCCCGGGGAGGGTTCGGATCCTGCTAGCAGGAGCAGGCCCGTGGCTGGGGCCTGTGGCCAGCAGCGGGCTGGTCCTGCGCACACACACTGAGCTGGTCATGGAAGACCACTGTGGAGACGAAGGAAGAATAACTGTGTGTGTGGTGGGGGAGGGACCCAGGTATCTGCGATCATGTGTTCAGACGCAGCACAGGGCTCAGCCGTGATGACCTACGAGCCCCGAGGATAGTAGAGTCATGCTCCCAAGGCTCCCGGGCATCCGTGGCTGGTCTTCTGCCGTCAGCTTGGATGAGGGACCCAGGGCCATAGGGTGGTGGCAAGGAGTCTTTGGGAAGGGCCCATCCACGGGAGCCCATCTCAAGTTGTAGAACTTGTAGTAATGATGGCCAGGAACCCAGGTCATTCCGTGTGTTGGTCAGTTTGGTGAGGGTTATAGAGGCTGTTACCCAGGATGCCAGAGTTCTCTGAAGTATGTTCTGAAAGCCAAAAGCAGCCGGACTGACTCTGTGCACCAAAGCCGGGGTTGACGTCCAGAGGTGGAGGAGCTGCTTCCGTTCACTGGTGGGAGTGCCTCAGAGAGTTAAACAGGGTTGGCTTTACCCTCCACCTCTGCGGGAGCTCTGTGTCTGTGGGAAAAGCGGGAACTCGCGCTTCCTAATGCCTGTCTAGAGACGTAGCTAGCAGCAGCCGTCACAACTTCCACGTGTGGGAGTAGCCTACTATCTGATCATGGGTGAACAGATGGAGGAAATCTGCCATGGGCATGCAGGAGAATAGTTTTGTTGCTCAAGAGAGATGGAGCAGCGTTTCAGTGCTGCTCTAGAACACATAGACCTTGAATGCGGATTTTACACCACACAGAGCCCACTTACTGAGAGTCATTTTGTGTGAGATGTTTTCCCGATCACTACTGATAGATTATTTGTTGTCTTGGGGTGAACTGAGAGGAAAGGGGTATGGCTGCCAAGATACATGTGGTCTGGGAGAGACAGAGATACACTGCTTTAAAACTGAAGAATATTGATGTTCACAGAATGCTAGGATTGTGTAATATACTATGATTATTATTACTATTATTATTGTTGTTATTTTGTGCCAGGCTTGAATTCAGGGCCTGGGAACTGTCCTTGAGCATTTTTGTTCAAGGCTAGCACTCTGTCCCTTGAACCACAGCTCCACTTCCAGGTTTTGCTTTTGTTTTGTTTTTGTTTTTTGTTGTTGTTTTTTTTTTTTGGTGGACAATTGGAGATAAGAGTCCCATGGCCTTCCCAGTTCAGGCTGGCTTTAAACTGAGATCCTCTGATCTCAGCAGCCTGAGTAGCTAGGATTACTGGCGGGAGCCACCAGCACCCAGTCATGATTATTATATTTTAAAGAGCTGGCAACCATGGATATATGAAAATATCTGACAATAGGATGACACCCCCCCCAAGAATAGTAGAAAAGTCAGGCTGACACCATAGGAATACACATCTCCTAAAACATGCCCTGGGTTGTAGCTGAGCAGTGTAGCGCTGACCGGTTCTTTTAGGTAGCCTTGAGAAGTAGACATGGCTGGAATTGGAAGATGACACGCGAGGAAGGCTCTGATGTGTGTCTTATGAGAAACTGAGGGAGAATGTCTGTCAATAGACATGAATACAAGCCTGGTGTACAAAGGGATGAGGCAGGAGCAGACAGGAGCCGGAGAAGATGGCCACAGACTGCGGCATCTTCTGTGGTTTAAGTGCCAGGGTTTGGACTCAGGTACTTGCACCTAACAGGCAGGCAGCCCGCCACGTGAGTCATACCTCTACCTCTCTTTTTCTGTGCTTGTATTTTGTCTAGGTCTTGCATTTAAGCCTGGACTACAATCTTTCTTTTGCTGCTTTTCCCTCATACGTGAGGTGAATTGAGTCTCTCTATCCAAGTTCTCGCTGTGTTTTGGTGAGCGCGGAGCCTGGGATGGACACGAACGTCTGTCTTTCCAGTCTCGGGCTCCTCAGTAGCTGGCGTGACCAGCACAAGTCACCACCACTGGCTTCTCTTAAGTTTTAGAACGGAAATCTAAAGGAGGTAACGCTTGACTGGTGGATGTTTTTGTCTTTTAGGATTGATATGTACACAGAAGGTGTGGCAGATTTGGGTGAAATGCTCATGACTCTGCCACTCACTCCTTCAGACCAAAGAGAAGCCAAGATCGCCCTGATCAAAGACAGGACAAAAAACCGCTACTTGGTCGCCTTTGAAAAAGTAAGTGAAGAGTTTGAGGACTCTGAGTGGTTGAGTTGTCCTGACGGGGTTGAGCTTTACACCCAGAGAACCTTCCTGAAGACCAGCACAGGCATTGTGGATACACGGACTGTGAGGAACATGGTACCCAGCGTCCTACGTTAACATTGTTCTGCAGAATTTCTTGATCACACCTCTGGTAGTCAGTCCTCCACAGACTTCATGGTTGTAACTAAATCCTATCAGGGGAGGGCTCTGAGACTCACTGCAGGTGGGACTGGACCCTGCAGATCTCCACGGACTTGAACTCAGGAGCCAAGCGAAGACAGTCACACAACACAGAATATTCTGCCACCCCGTGTAGAGAGGAGGAGAGCAGCTGCGGAGAATATTTCAGTCTCCAAGAAAGAATCAGAGTCAGACAAGAGGAGAAGGGGCGGGTGATGTAGAAGAGGAGTTAGGAAAAGACTATTAGCTGTTAGAAACTATTTTACCAGGTTTTGGAGGTCGAGTTGAGAGGAAAGCTCCACAAATGACAGGTATTACTGATCTCAGCTACGGTCTCCTCTTAGAAAGCAAAGCAGGGACGTTTCAAACTCCTTCGACTTAGGCTAAGCAAAAAAATTGAACGAAACATGAGTGTGGGAATCTGACAGGTGAATGAAAGTATAAACTCTTTAATTCCACCCCCCTATTAAAAAACCCACATTATTCCTTCATTTACAAAAGCTGATTTGCCGCTGACTGCTCTAAGAGAACAGGGAGATTTTAGAAACAGTTTTGTCCTCACAGGCTTGGCTTAGGCCGGTCTCACCGACACCAGCGTGCTGGCCCTGGCTGCTCCAGACTTCTGCTCTGTGAGGAGAGAAGGAATTCCCTGCCCACATGTGAATTATGTACATTAAACCACAGTGTTTGTGTTGTACCAAGTAAATATCCACATTCTCTCTGCATGTGCACATAGTGTGATATGGCATTTACTGAAAGCTTTAGTAGTTGCTTACCTTTAGTTGATAAGGCTTTCCCTTTTTATTTTCAGCCACTTCTATAAATAGGGAATACTTAGTAAATATCACACGCAGTCCCAAGCTTTGTTACGTAAATGCCATACGCCCAGGAAGGTTGAAATAAGTGTTTCGTGAATATAGACCACCAACCTAAATAGCAAAATTAACATTTGGTGGTGGTGTCTTTGTCGACTCTTGTCGATAAATTCATTTTTCATCTGTACAAGCTAAGCTGCAACCTCAGTGCCTTTCACTGGAGACCCTTCGGAATGTCGATTTTGACCCAGTGTAAATGAGAAGTAATAGTCAATTGTGCCAGGGAGATGGTGAGTTCAAGTCCAACCAGCCCTACTTGAGATCCCCCAGAGGTGAGCAGCAGATGAGATGAGCAGGCCAGAGGAGAATCTCTTGTGATGCCGTGACAGAGAAAGACGCTGCGTGGAGGTGTGATTACTGTTCACGGGAGGGGGGAGACCACAGGGCTGCAGCCTTTCAGGACAGAAACACAGAAGGGTCTGAAGTGGAACTTATTCCCAGGGGGTCATCAGGAGAGGGGGTGCATGCATGCATGAGCTCACATTCTGACTCGTCCAATTCTGCAGGTGTTGAAGAGCCACGGGCAAGACTACCTGGTCGGCAACAGGCTGAGCAGGGCTGACATCCACATGGTGGAACTTCTCTACTACATTGAGGAGCTGGACGCCAGCCTTCTGGCCGGCTTCCCTCTGCTGCAGGTGAGGCATTCCAGAGCCTTCCAGAGCCCTCAGGTAGCAGCCCTGTGCCTCACTAGGAGAATACAAGACAGACTGGTGAGGACCAGACCATCACCTTAGGCCTCCAACGGAGCCTCTGTATCCTGCGTTTGAGGCGGAGGTTTGAGTGACACATTTCTCAAAGAAGAGCATTTTTCCTTTTCTCATGACATGGGCCCAGGCCCTGGGTCCTCTCCCCGGCCTGTGCTGTTGTGTGCTCGCTCCCTGCCTCTCCGGGGTCTCCTTGGTCCCCTGTGTCCTTGTTTTCACGCTGGATGCATCTGAGCAAGTCTCTTTCCAGCTCGGCATTGGTGAGCCTCCTCCTCTCCAACTGAGCCCTCAGCTGCTCAGCCTTGTATTTCTTTCTTCAACACTTCCTGCCCCGCGTACTTTGTTCAAACGGATTTTCCTGCCTTTTTATCACCGCTTGGATGTTTCCTTTCTCTTGGCACCTAAAATAGTCAGTGTTCTCCTTCTGAAATAGAAAAGCGGATCTACAAGATTGACAACTTGCTGGCAGTGCAAGCTCTGAGCGGAATGCAGTCTCAGTAGAGGTCTTTGAGGACGGTGCTGTTGAGCTCTGTGTTCTGGCCCTTATGTTCCCTGGGACTCTGTTCCCAGCCTCCTCCTTGAACTGGGCTTGGTCCAAGATGGCTTCAGATTCCTGGGAGGTGCTCATCCCTGGGTGGACTGTGGGCTCTCTCTGAGGCTCTGCTTTCTGTGTTGCAGGCCTTGAAGACCAGGATCAGCAACCTCCCCAACGTGAAGAAGTTCCTGCAGCCCGGCAGCCAGAGAAAGCCTCCCCTTGATGAGAAGGCTATAGAAGAAGCAAGGAAGATTTTCAGATTTTAACAGAGCTGAAGTTTGCCATGCTACATTGTTCCATGTATATGTTGACTCACACTACTCTGGGATTAAACAAAAAAAGTCTTACAAATCCTGTGCATACCCAGTGCTTGAGTGTCAGTCCCAGCCCAGCAGATAGAGAGGATGGCTTTAAAGCAAAATAGACCAAGGAATAAAGTAAGAAAAAAAGACAGTTCTGACAGCAGAAAAGAAGCAGATAAAGATAATGTAGAGCGAACGAAGAAGTTAAAAAAGTAAATTAATTTAAAAATATGAGATATAAGAAAGTAAAATTTTAAAAAAGGAAAGTAGAAGACAAACTTCAAAGAAAAGAAGGGCAAAAAGGAGTAGGGTAAAAAGTGAAAGAATTACTTTTAATAAAAAAAAAAGAAATTTAAAAGTTAAACATTTAAAGAAGAAAAGAGAGGCCATTTGGCCTCTTTTTCCCACATGGCAAATGCTTTGGAAATCCTTGGGGAGCGGTGCCCATCCATTACCCCAGGACAGAGAATGGCTCTGATACCTAGAGGCTGCACATGGGGCTGGGCTTCCTGCACATGAACAAGTTCCTACACGGATCTCCTCTCCCACCAGGCTGCCACTCCCCACCTCGCCCCGATTTCTCCTTCAGCACCCCAGGCATTTATGGCATAGCTCAGAGATCTGGCTTTCCTGCCCTTCCTTCATACATTCCTTGTTCCTTGTCTTTAAAAATGAGTGGAAACATCCCTAGTTGTTTCTTCACATTATTCCCTCTCTTGCAAGGCTCCTCTTGTCTGTGTGAATTGACTGAAGATTTCCTGTGAATGCTGAGCCGCGAGGTCTGATAAAGAAAACTGGAATGTCTTTCTCTGACTCTCGGAAAGCTGGGAATGGCCTGAGAAAAATCAATGGCTCCTAGCCTTACAGAGACCTGAGAAAAATCAATGGCTCCTAGCATTACAGAGACCCCAGAGTTAATCAGAATCCAAACTTGCTTGGACCTTGGAATTGGGTAAAGGCTTATGCAAACTGTGGTTGTTTGCTGCTTGCCTCCTTTTGGTAAGATAAGAAGGTCACTGCTCCCGGGATTGTTTCACAGGCTGGTGTCTTAACTTCAAGGAGATTGCTCCCTTGCTTGCTGTACATACCCTGTCTAATAATAAGCAAGATCCTGTTAATGGGACTTCGGGGCGTCTGTTGCTGGGGAGAGCCACAGGCCCCACTAGGCCTCCCACGCCAGTGTCACAGTCCAGTTTCCATCGCTTCCTTGCTCCCAATGGTGATGAGTTAAGGTGCTCATTTTGGGGGTCCATGGTGGTTTGCAACAGCCCCTCACCGTATCCACTGTGAATCTGATTGATCTGAGGCAATCATAATCCTGTCTATGCCCCTAAGGACTACAAAGTGAATTTAGTAGAGAAGCTTCCAGAAGTTTTGCTCCCGAGCACAGAGTGATGCTCAGGAGAAACTTCTGTCCTGGACGTACCTTGTGAGGGCCGGGGACCCCATGCATCGAGCATGACACCCAAGGGAAGCAGCGACACGCTGCGTTGCCAAGAGAATCATTTCTAGAGAGTTGTCATCCTCTTAGTGCTCAAGCATCCGGAGTGTTCCCTGAATTTGAAGCATCCTCAGTGATGTATGTGGAGAAACGGAGGCGAGGATGGTTCCCGAAGGGGGGGGGGCCTGCAGGTGACAGAAGAGGAAGAGGGGGAGGAAGACAGGTTCAAACCCACCCAGGAAAACCAGTGAACCTGACGGTGATTGGGTGTGGGGGTGAGGAAGAGACAAGGAGAGCCTAACTCCAGTCGGCGCCCAGCTCCTTAGAGCCTAGCCGGCCGTGTGGCCCTCTGTCTGGGGGAGGGGTCAGGGACGAAGCAGGCTGACACTTGCTGTAGACTGCAGCTCCGCAGATGCTGTGAACTGTGCTTCATCGTTTTATTCCTGACACTTGGTTCACCGTCTCACAATGTGTCCTTGGCTAGGAACAAAGTCCGCACGCACGAGGAGATGTGGGGGCGGGGGAGCTCTGGGCTGTCGTTCACTGAGACTCATTTAGGGCAAGCTGGGGAGGGCTGCACTCCAGTGGGGATCTGGGACACTAGTGTTTCCTTTTGTTGAAGCCAGGACTTCCGGGGTCCGGAAGCAGCCTGTGCCTTTACAACGCTGACCTCTCGTGGGCACGGGGATGTCTGGCTGGTGAGTGACAGGGCCTCCCTCTGAAGGATTGACTCCCGTTCCCCGAGGTCAGGCAAGACACCAGGTGCATGTGAACAGGCCTGACCACACGTCTGTCCACCACACGTCTGTCCACCATATATGCCTGTCTGCCGGCAGGTTATTCCAACCTAAGCCTGGCCGAGCACACCGCCCTGGGCCTCCAGGAGACCATAGCCCATTGTGTTTTTCTGCTTTCTTGTTAAGGCCTGTACAAGCCCACCCCAAAATCCAGTCCCTGGCACAACCTCCAAACCCTGCAGAAATGTCTGGCAATCAACAGTCCTAGCCAGTTGGGGACTGAGTCTGGCCTCTTCCTTTTCCGTTCTTCTCCATTTTCCCAACAGCCAAAACCTGAGTCTGTTTCACCTCAAACCCAAATGACCTCCTCTCCGGAGTTTTTATCTTTCATCTTTGACCCAGTGCTTGCTTTGGACTGTATTTTGATAAGTTGATCTTTGGCCAGGTTGAGACACACCTGAACTTCTCTTCTAGAAGGTGAAGTATGAGGTCAAATTTTCCCATCTAAAGCAGCTCAGTGTAATGCAAAGCAACAGCCCACCGAACCTTCCCCAGGATGGCCGGCCGAGGCACCCCAGGGAAGCACCAAGCTCTCCACGAGCTGAGCCCTGCGGGGATGGACAGTCTTTGGAATCTGTCTCAGGGAAAGTGAATTTCCTCCTTCCTTGTTCTTGCTTCATTTCTCCCCCCCTTCCACCCCCCCCCCCCCTATTGATGGTAAGAAATTCCCTTGTGTCTATTTTATTACCGTAGGAACTTACATTATGTTTCCACTCAAATATTATATTTATTGCAAAATTCTGCAGCATTTTAAAAGAAAATGAATTGGTCCCCATTCTCACAATGCAAGCATACATTATTTCCCATGTCCTATACTTTTTTACTCTCTCTCTCTCTCTTTTTGGGGAAATGTGCCGACATATTTGTATTCTCAGCGATATTTTAACATTCAGTGTTGGTGACCAGCCCCAAGCCTTCATACGTGCTACACCAAGGGCTCTGACACTGAGCTAAGCTTCAAACCTCTATAATCATTATATAGAAATACTTGATTGTTCTGAATAGGGCGATCAGGTCTGGCCGGCACCATCCTGGCCACGTGGTGGCTGGTGGGGTCAGGCATCTTGTCTTCATGGTGGGGGAGGTGAAGCCCCCACCTCCCAGGTGAGGGGCGTGCCTGAGTCCCAGGAGGCACAGGTGGCCATTTGGCCGGTAGATTACTAAACCTGTTAGTCCAGTGCTGGGACCCTGCCCCCTGACCTGATCCTGTTTAGGTGTGGACCAGCTCAGGTACCCGATGCTCTGCCACATGTTCCTATCTCTTGGTTGTTCTTAGTCAACACTGCATCCCACCTCAGCTCTCCGTTGGAGCCGAGAAGCTTTGCTGTGTTACAAGACGAGGAAACAGAAAAGCCACATTTTGAAACATCAAGTCTTGGAGTCTTTATTGGAGCGCTAGCGGTCTGCAGGCAGCCAGTGGTTACAAAGGCCTGCAGCCCAGGGTGCCGATCTGGTGCTGGCAGACTCAGTCTCCCACCTTCTGCGGTATTGTTTGTTCTTTCTTTCCTCTCTGGCCCTCATGGCTCAGTTTCCTGGCAGTGTGAAGTGTATTTATGGGCTTCAAGCCTTCATCACAATTGGGCTGCCTGTAGACTGTGAGCGCTCCAATGGAGACTCCAAGATTTGACTTCTCAAAATGTGGCTTCTCTTTTTTCTCACCTTACAACAGTTTTACCAATTGCCTTTTTAAAATGTGACAGTATCTCTTTTCCAAATTGCATAATACTTACAAAGGAGCCAAATGTGTATCCGCATACCCTCCCCATACTCCACTGAAATTCCTCAAGCCAAAGATAACCATCATTCACCGTTATTCCCTACAGTGTCTTCAATCTAAATAGATAAGAGGTGGGCATCATAGAGCATATATAGGCCTGGAGATGTAATGGGTAACGTTGAATATATATGATCACGTATGGCTTCTATGTACCCTAGGGCCCTGACCTCTGCTCTTACCCAATGCCTCTTTCCATAGGAGCTGTATAGAGTAAGGATTGTTATCTGCACAGCAAAGGCTATAATTCATCTTCACCTGCATGGTATTCAGTGCCAGTGCTATGGTCTGGAAGCGAGCCAGGCAGAAACTAGGCTTGTGGACGAGCCACCACACCGAGAGGAGGGCTGCCCCAGGAATGCTTGCAGCCCGCAGTGAGGTGTGTGCAGAGCCTGAGTGGGCAGGAGGAGGAGGGAGCCAGGACCAGGGGCCGGGAGGTGGAAGAGGGAGGAGGAGAGCTGCAGAAAGGCCGGGAGTAAACACGGGAGGACCGTGCGGGCTTTCTAAGTTGTTTCCGGGTTTAGGCTTCACCCTGAAGGCAGTAATGGCTCCTGAAGGGTAGAGAGACAGAAAGTTCCAGAGTCCAGGATGCAGGGTACAGGGCCCTGGGAGTGTTGTACCAGAACTGGGTGGTGAGAAACAGAGAAGCCACATTTTGAGAAGTCACACTGGGAGCCCCTGTGGGGAGCGGGGTGGGCAGGTGGAGTCCTGTCTGAGAGACCTGCAGCCCGGGATCAAGCTTTAACAAAGATAAAAAACCACATGCTTGAGGGAGACCAAGCCTTAAACAAATACAGACCATATATGGGAGGACGCAGGTGCGCGCAGAACTTTCCATGTAGGGAAGTAGTGCAGCACTCAGCTCGAACAGTCCACACAGGGGTTGGGCCTTGAATTTTCCCTGTAGGGAGATACTCAGAGGCCGGAGACTCAGACCATTTATGGAGATAATCAAGGCGGAATCAGAATCAGACCACTCAGGGGAGGTCAAAGGTTAGCAAAGGCTCTCCCAAGGCTTCTCTCACCCTAGGCTTTTCAGGGCTGGG